TATAGTTTCATGAAAGACTTAATAATTATTGAAGATATTATTAAACTGTTTTAACTTATTTCTTTCAAAAGTTAAAAAAAAATTGAAAATTGAAATTTCAAAAGATTTCATAATATTTTTGAAAAAAAATTGACATCAAATAAGGACTCAGTGCCTTGTTACACCTTAGAGTAAGGCCTGAGCACACAGATATGTAGCCTACAACCTACAGACTTGAATTTACATTGGGGACAATAGAAAAAGCTGTCACCAGGTTTTAGGGCTGGTAGAGGTCTGAGAATGCCATTGATGTCTTGGGCAAAGACAAAGACACTAGGGCTTAGAGCCAGAAAATGACCTTCCTTGTGGCCTAAAGGGTAATTAGTAGGAGCTTGAGTAATAATTAGGATTCTGGGCTCCTTATGCCATGTCTCTCCCACAGATCTCTCCTGAGCAGGCCCTTATGGCCCTGGACAAACTTATATGACAGCTATGTGTAGAGAGACCAGTACTCTCTATCAAAGGGTTCTGCCAAAACTAGGCTCAAAAGAAAAGTACAAGGGAGAGATCTTTCTTTTCTGAAATAGAATTAGTTTGATCATGTAAGGAAAAATATTAGTTTGGCAGGGTCACTATTAGACCATATGGCACCTTTGTACAAACTAGTAAAATAGCACCTCCTCCTAAGACCCTCTGCTTCTTTCATCCATCAGAAAATTCAGAAAAATCTGTCTGAAAATTCAGAAAGACACTATAGTGCCATCTGTTGGAAAATAGTTGTAACAAATTTATATATTTAGGATACTGGTGATGTGAATGGCACACCCTGCCCCCTTATATGCAGTGCACGGCCTGCACTATTGTCCCCACCCCTTCTTTGCTATATTCTAAGAATTGGTCTTTATTCAAGATGGCTGCCTCTTAGTACCACTGTGAGGCCAGGAGTGATGGTCCTCATCATCATCTCCTTGAAAACCATGTCTAATCTGAATTCTTGGGTTTATTGGTGTGCTTTTGAGGGAGAAAGACTAGAGCAATGGCAGGGAGCCTCTCCTGGGGGTGGGGGGGGTAGGTAGGAGCCCACAGGGCTGGGTACCCTTAGTGTGCAGAAGCTTCTCTCTGAGCCCCCCTCCCATCCCCCAAAGTGGTTGATTATTGGAATGAGAAAAGGACATGTTCAGGGATCCTGTTGCTATCCTGGGAAACTTTGAAAAGCACCTCCAAAGAACTGATCAGGGACTCCAGATGGCTTTGAGATTGGAAGGGAAATGAATTGTAGCATTATATTCAAAAAAAAGAGTTATGGTTGGAAATTGAATCTTCGTTGATGACCTACACAACCTTAATAAATGCATCAGCTGTCTCTACAAACACTTGAACCAACATGGAAGTACCAGTAGGGAAAACCTCTAACTGTGCAAGAGGATCATCTGTTTCCCTAAAGAAGTGCAGCAGTACTTTTCCCTAGGAGCAAAGGGCTTCGTGTGTTCTCTGTAATAAAATGGAGTCCCTTTGGGGAAAATAAAATTGGTCTTTGGAGCCCAAAGAAGAAAGACATACATCAGTGACAACTCCAACCTCCCATCCAAGAGATTACACACAGGTTGTGTTGGGGACAGGAAATCAAGGCCTTGCAGCATTGGGGTGGGGCATAACAGTTTGCAGGACTATTTCTGAGAGCAGCTCTACAGGCACTGGCAGCTGGAGGTAGGGCAGGAGATGATTTTCAGGCCTAATGATGACACTACTCCACTGAGAAAAAGAGTTCATCCTGGATGTCTGCAAGAGCTGACAATGCCTTCACTTTACTGACAGCATGAAAAGTCTGGTTCAGCAAGACAAGGCACATGGATGCTTTTTATATCTAGAATCCTGTTAGCTGCCCCTCTGATTCATCCAAAGTCAACAAAAATCAAGTTCTGTACCAGTCAGATTATGCTGCATAACAAACAACTCTGACATTTAGTGGCTTAAAAACAACATCCATCTATGCAGTTCACAATTCTGTGCATCAGGGATTTGGATTGAGCACAACTGGGCAGTTCTTCGGTCTCAGCTAGACTCACACATGTATTTGCAAGCAGTTAGAGCTTCACTGGTCAGGGATGGCTTCAGCTGGTGGTCTCTCACCTTCCAGTAGACTAGATCAGTCTGTTTGCAAAGAGGCAGGGTAGGGTTAAGAGGAAGTTATTTGAAGTGTGCAAGAGTAATCGGGGGCATAAGTGTGGGACAGACAGCATCCCCTCCCTGTCCTCCAATTATCAAAGCAGATCTCAGCCAAGATTCAAAGCTGGGAAAATAGACTCCACTACATGATGAGAATGGCTAGAGTCACACGGACATGTTGAGAAAGGAAGGTTTGTGGACATTTTTGTACCAAGTCCGAGTGAGACAGAAACTTCTGGGGAACAAAAACACAAATCTTGCCTTGAAGAGTCCTCAGACAAATATAGGTTGTAAGGAAGCAGACTATTAAAATTCTGCTTAATTGGTGCCACAGTAGGGATGCGTTATGTCTCTGGAGTTAAAAGTGTGGAGCCTGGAATTATTGAAACATTATACCATCAGCAGCCAAAGCTATTGCTAAAGAATCTTATTTCCTGTAACATCCAGCCATAGTTTCATGAGTATGTTCTCCTCAATGCAGAAAATGCACATGACTAGCCACATTATTATCTCTCAAGAAAGATATTTCAAGCAGTTACTTCTTAAACACTTCCATTAAGTCTGGATCTGATTTTCTGGCTGTACTGTGGGAATGACAACAGTGACTCTTCTTCATTATCCAGAATGTTCAGGCCTCCCCTGTAGAAGGGGAGAAGGTGGGAGAGATTTAAGAAGAAAGTACATGTGTGGAAGTATTAGATCACGGGGTTCTGATACATGTGGGCTTATGCTGGAAAGAAACCGCCAAGACTGAAAAACCAAGAACTCAATATCTGTTTACAGAACTGGTCTTAAGGATTGAAGCTCAGAGAATAGGACTCTGACCAGTTCTAAGAAAGCTTCTGTTCCTTCCCAGTCATTGAAACTGGACCATCTTATTAACTCTACTCAAAATGAATGGTTAGGATGTCCTTGGCAATGTGAGTGGAGCTATCTCGAAGCTCTCCTGACAGTTCTCATCTTTGGCTAGGCCAGTAGGTCCCCTATTTGGTAGGAAGTGGATAGAAAGATGGTGCAATAAGACAATTCCTGATCTCCACCTGCTTTCCTTTTTGGGAGGTAGGGGCGGTTCCTGCCCATTGGGGTAACTGTTGTGCCCCTCAGCATACTTGGTTCATAGTGAAGAAGTCTGAGGACAAATACATAGACAACAAAAATATTACATGTGCCCATGAGAGCTAGGTTTGCTTCATGATTTGTAGGCATGTTTATATGTGTACTCACTGTTGGCAGGAGACTGTAGAGATTTCTGGTTGTAAGTGTTTTCAAATATGACTATGGGAGCTACCAGCTAGTGATAATGTGGTGCCACGAACTTGTAGTACAATAGCAGATCAAGTGTCTATTTCAATTCCCATATTCAAGGGCATTGGAACAAGGATTTAAGTGCAAGTAGTTATTTAGTAGATGATCTTAGGAAAGAATGTTAGAGGGCAGGAAAGAGAAGGAAGCCAGTGAAGGATGTTTATCAATATGGTTACCTCTGAGAACAAGTTCCACTGGGAAACTCTGGTAGAACATATACCTCAGGGTTATCCCATTCAAGGAGGAAGGGAGCTGGGGTATTCATATTCATACACACACCATAGTCAGTCATGCTTAAGAGCAGTGCAGGGAGGGATGTCTGACCCCAGAAACAGAGGCCACTAATGCTGGTGAGCAAAGGATGAGAGATCCCCTCTCCCTAAGTGTGGGAGAAAAGGTAAGCTTTGGGCTACACAGGGTTGCTTCAATGCTTGGTGGTAGTACCTGTGATGAGTATAAACAAAACCCAGAAAATCATCTTAGCATATGTGAAAAGCCATAAACCCAAACGTAATATCAGAAGGAGAGTCTTTTTGAACTAAGATAAAGGAAGTTGCCATCTTGGATCAGGATAAAACGTCAGTTCTAGATGAGCACACGCCGAGTACTGTGGTGCGGACAGCATGAATTCCACAGATGGAGAGAAAGATCTAGATGACAACAAGGGAGGACATGGACCTGCAGACACTTAGAAAAACCTACCATGTTAGAATAGTATTTATCAAATTATTCTGCAGATGGCTATTATCTGTCAGGATAGTAATAGTTTTATCAAAAGCCAAATAAACATGCAAAATGTCAGGCCCCGGATTTCCTCCCCACCAGAGTTATCAGCTCCTTTACCATTCTGCTACACATTATGAATCTCTAAAAGAAAGAAAGACAGAAAGAAGGAATGCAGCATTTCCCAAACTTATTTGCCCTAACGCCTTTGAACAGCTCTCATTAACTAGGGTTCTCCAGCACACAATTTGGAAAATAATATACTAAAAGTATGTTACAAGGAACAGGCAACTCCCCATAAGATAGCCAGCAGGAAGTCTATGCATTTTGAAAAGTGGTTCCACATAATGCTTTTCTTGCTGGTGTGCTTTCTAAAAACCATCCAACCTGCCAGGTACGGTGGTTCACGCCCATAACCCTAGTACTCTGGGAGGCTGAAGTGGGTGGATCACTTAAGCTCAGGAGTTTGAGACCAGCCTGAGCAAGAGCAAGAGCAAGACCCCATCTCTACTAAAAATAGAAAAACTACCCAGGTGTTCTGGCGGGCACCTGTAGTCCCAGCTACTCAGGAGGCTGAGGCAAGAGGATTGCTACAAGCCCAAGAGTTTGTACTTGCTGTGAACTATATTGACACTGTGGCACCCTACCCAGAGTGATAGAGTAAGATTCGGTCTCAAGAAAAAAAAAAAATCTACCCTGAGACATCCCCCGTGCCTTCCAGCCCCATGAGTGTGGATCATGCCTACTCAGAGGCCAGGCTGCCTTAGAAGCAAAATGGCTGATTCTCCAGCATTTCTAACTTAGCCTGTCCTATTTCTGCCTTTCAGATGGGCTTCTTTCGCCGAAGGTACAAAGAAATTATCGAAGCTGAGAAGAACCGGAAAGAGAACGAAGACAGTTGGGACTGGGTCCAGAAAAACCAGTGAGCTGCCACACCAACCATGTGACCCAATCACTGGCCTGTCATCCTTGATCTTTGTATCTTCCATATTTGGAAGAAAAAAATCTTCTCCAGATTTTTCGGAGGCCCCACTGATGCTGTTCTCTTCCTCATTCTGTCAAGCCCAGGTGTCAGCCTGAGGCAGCCACTGTGGCCAGGTCACATGACCAGAGCCGCCACCACTTTCCTTTATAGATGAACTCTGAACTTTGGAAAGCAAGCTATGGAGCCGAGCAATATTTATGGATGCAACACACGTGGTCAACCCTCAGGGGAAAACTGTTACCTAAAAGTATTTTTATAAATATAAGCCTTTTATACTGATTATGTCTTTATATTTGTATCAATGTTTTATTATTTCTATTAAATAGTTATATAATTCATTCAAGCACTGATATCCGCCCTAAAATCATGGCAGTACATGTACATGAATTTGCAAATTTTAAAGGAAAAAAATCTTATTGTACTTTGGACTTGCTGTTTAAAAAGAAAAGACTTGCCGATAAAATAAGCTGAAGAAACCTCATGTAATGACTCCAGCAAGCTGACAGTGGTGCCTGTAAACTGTGGATGTGGGAAGACTCCTAAGACAGTTCACATCTTTATTGCCTAGAGTCAAGTTTGGAGTTATGTGCTAAAGAACTGCTAAGTGTTTTTTCACATGTACCTTTCATTGGAAGACTCCCAGCAAGAATCTGGATGGAAAGCCTGACTTCTAGCAGGAAGCCTGCTCTGTATCACCTTTCTACAGCAGACACCTTGTCCTCCTCCCACTTAGCTTGGTGGATGAAGGCTTGGAGCAATGCCAGTCGGTCATCTGGTAAACCTCAGAACGGCATCTCATCCTGGATGTCATGCATCAGAGTTCATAGGCCACAAGGACAAAATCTGTGCCCCCTCAAGCAAAGACTTGGGTCTTAATGCTTTGAGGCATTGCCTTTTTATCATAATTTTAGTTCAGAGGTCTCCATTTTCCCTAACTCTTCTGCTGTCCCAACTAGTGGTAATTGTATATTCCTTCCCAGAGATAACTGTTCAACTTTTATTTTAATAAGTGTCTTAGGTGGGGTTCCTAAGATGCAGACCCTGAAGAAGGTTTTATGTGCAAGTAACTTACTAAGGAAGTGCCCCTAGGGGAATACTAGTAAAGGAGGGTGGGGGGAGGGAGAAGAGAAGCAGGACAGGGAAGGGGAGGAAGCCAGGGCAAGGTGCCATTTCAGGGAATATTCCCCAGACAGCAATAGCAGCCCAATCAGGGGAGCTCTAGGGGATAAGCGAGGCCTCCAAGTAGTTCCACCCTGTGGCAAGGGAGCTGGGCTTTGATATTCATGCACGCAGGAGAGATGCAAACATTCTGCTCTCAGTTCCAGCTGGCAGAGTGGCCCCAGAGCTCAGGGGCAGTCCTCTAATGAAAGCCACAGGTGTCCCCTCAAACTGGGGAGACACAGAAATGATGCAGAGGGATCTTAGCAGAGCATCATCCCACGCCCTACATGTGTGAACGCTGAGTTGCCGCCTGCAATATCCAAGCTCTCTGTTTGATAGTGGATACACTGTCAGATGCACTGTGCTCCCTGGTGTTGAGTGCAGTGTTATTTTCTAAAAGGGCAACAACATGATGGGATGTAGCATTCTCAGCACTACAACTCGCTCATAGTGATCACTCAGTAACTGCAAGTAGCTATGGCTGCTCTTCCCACTGCTGGATAATCATCTAATAGAAAACCTGGGGCTAAGAGCAGCATTTACAAAGAGTCTTAACAGCTCATTACATACAGCCTGCCAAAGCCCTCGCTACATACAGATGGCATCCAGAGGGAGGAAACACTATGCAAGACCAAGGACCTTTCTTAGGAGTCTTTCTTAGTTCACTGGAAGCTAACATGTTGAGAGTCTGTGAACATTGGGAAAAGACACAGAACTTAACCCCAGGGGAGACAGGTTTTCTATACACATACTTGGCTGATACTCACAAACATATCTAAACTTTTGGCAAAATTATGAGGGTGCTAGGCAAGTGCAAACCTGGCAAGGAGCGTGCGTGTCTTTTAGTTTCTTATTATACAGTTGACCCTGCTGTGGAAA